GGCTCAGTATATAGAGCGTCGGCCTGCGGACTGAAGGGTCCCAGGTTCGATTCCAGTCAAGGGCATGTACCTTGGTTGCGGGCACATCCCCAGTGGGGGGTGTGCAGAAGGCAGCTGATCGATGTTTCTCTCTCATCGATGTTTCTCACTCTCTATCCCTCTCCCTTCCTCTCTGTAAAAAATCAATAAAATATATTTTTAATAAAATGAATGGGAAAATATCCTTGGGTGAGGATTAATAAATAGAAAAAGAAAAGAAACAGGATACTCTTTAATATTCTGGAACTTGAATCTGGGAATGCCCTTAGGCACACCTTGCTTCAAATAGGGAGGTATTGTCGCTCAGAATGTACCTTAGCATGGGGGTTCCTGCTGGGCAGAGAGAGAGAGAGAGAGAGAAAGAGAGAGAGAGAGAGGCCTGCCAGGGAAGCCCTAAGCCCTAAGGTTGATTGTCACGCCAGAGGTTCTAATTGGTCTGGAGTAGATAGATACACCTATACAAACAAGTGCAGGAGGAAAATTCAAGGTCAAGTTAAGAAGAGTGACAAGGGGCATTTGCCTAGTTATGGAAAAATCTCATAGAACTACAGACATGAAAACATCACGGACCCACACAGGCAGACAGTGGGCCAGAATAAAAAGCCAAGAAATAGGCCCCAGTCGGGCAGCTCAGCTGCTTAGAGCATCGTCTGATACGACAAGGCTGTGGGTTTGGTCTGTGGTCATGGCACGTATGAGAATCAACCAATGGCCCTGGCTGGTTTGGTTCAGTGGATAGGGTATCGGCCTACGGACAGAAGGGTCCCGGGTTCGATCTAGGCAAGGGCACGTGCCCGGGTTGCAGGCTCGATCCCCAGTGTGGGGTGTGCAGGAGGCAGCCGATCCATGATTCTTTCTCATCATTGATATTTCTAGCTCTCTCTCTCTCTCTTCCTTCCTTTCTGAAATCAATAAGAATATATATATTATATTCTGGAACTTGAGTCTGGGAATGCCCTTAGGCATTTATATATATGATTTATTTATAATATATAAATAAACTTATATATATATATATATATATATATATAAATGAATCAACCAATGAATGCATAAATGAATGGAACAACAAATCAATGTTTCTCTCCCTCTCTCTAGAATTGATAAATACATTTAGAAAGGAATATCTGCAAGTAGAGTAGCCATATATATTTTTTAAACGATCTAGCAAAGATGGCATTTCAAATAAACTTTTAGGGATGCGTTTAGTTCTGAATATAATGACAAATTAGGGAGGGAGGAGGGAATATGAGGAGACTTATAGATGAACAAGAATTAGCTCGTATTTCATAACTTATGATAACTCCATGACTTATATACACTGAGTGGCCAGATTATTATGACCACCCCATCAGTACTTCATTGACACGTCCAAAAATACTGAATATTGAAAACTTCCTAAGCAAATACTCTCAAGGTTTTATTATTATTATTATTATTTGCATAACTAATTCACTTCGTTGTACTGATGGGGTGAATTATGCTCATTTCCGTGAATGAAACATACAGACAGTACAGGAGCTCATTTTCTCATGTCCTCATCAACTGTGAGCTTTATTCGTTTTTAAGTCCTTCCTAAAAAGATGTTATTTCCACGATGTTTTCATTTGCATCTCTCTGATTACAGCTGAGATGGAATATTACGCTGTTTCCACAGTTTAAAAAATTAACTAGTTTTTAATTGAAGAAAATAATTCGTGTACATGGTACAAATCTCAAAGAGCATCAAAAGCTGCACTGTGAAACATGCATCTCCTTCCCACGCCCGAGGCGCCGCAGTCCCTGAGGCAGCCGCCGAGATCCGCTTCTTCTCTCTCCTTCCAGAAATATGACGTGCACAGACCAGCACATTATGGAAGAAGAAACGCATCTGTGTACCTCTGTATCCTCCTTTATTTTATGATTATTTTTTAACACAACGAGAACATGTTTTTAGAGTAAAATACAAAATCTGAGCCCTTTGTACCACTCAGATGTCATCTGTACCCCGGCTGGACTGGCCAGCATTGTGGCCCTTGGCGCTAAACTCTTTCCTGTCTTTTCTTTTTTTCTTTCTTTCTTTTTTTTTAAAATATATTTTATTGATTTTTTTACAGAGAGGAAGGGAGAGAGATAGAGAGTTAGAAACATCGATGAGAGAGAAACATCCATCAGCTGCCTCCTGCACATCCCCCACTGGGGATGTGCCCGCAACCCAGGTACATGCCCTTGACCGGAATCGAACCTGGAACCTTTCAGTCTGCAGGCCGATGCTCTATTCACTGAGCCAAACCGGTTTCGGCATCTGGTTCTTGTTCTTTTCTTTGTATTTTTATTGATTTCAGAGAGGAAGGAAGTGGGAGAGAGAGATAGAAACATCAATGATGAGAGAGAATCATGGATCGGCTGCCTCCTGCACGCCCCACACTGGGGATCGAGCCCGAAACCAGGGCATGTGCCCTGACTGGGATTCGAACTGTGACCTCCTGGTTCATAGGTCGATGCTTAATCATTGAGCCACACCGGCCAGCCAACACCTAAGTAATTTTTTAAAGTATTTTTATTGATTTCAGAGAGGAAGGGGGAGGGAGAGAGAGATAGAAACAATGATGTGAGAGAATCCTTGACTGGCTGCCTCCTGCACGCCCCCTACTGGGGATCAGTCAGAAACCCGGGCATGTGCCCTTGACCGGAATCGAATCCGGGACCCTTCTGTCCGCAGGCTGATGCTCTATCCACTGAGCCAAACCAGCCAGGACAACACCTGAGTAATTTGGATGCCTCTTCACGCCAAGGGGTTTTCACCACCCACTTACCATTAGCAATCATGTCCCTTTGGCCATTGGAACAATAGGCAATGCGATTTCTCAGTCCTATCCGGAGAGATCTCTTGTAAGGAGCACGCTGGGGACCGGTTGTGTGAGGGGCAAGTGGTGTGGCGGGGCCATAAGGTGAGGCGTGGAGGATTGCTTCTGCCTGCAGCCAGCGGAGCCCAAGCAGAGCTGGTCACCAGGGCGGAGGGGCTGGGACAGGCCGCGTCAAAGGCCCTGGGAGGCCGAGAGGCTGGGATATGGCAGGACGAGCTGTCTGGTACGAAGGCCTGTCACGGATTTTCCTTCCAAACAAGGCCTGCCCTATTTGCATTTATTGATGCCACGTGATGGATAGGTTTGGTTCTTATTCTGACATCTTATTTTACACGATGCCTTCTCTCCGGCGTGCTTTCTTTGTTGTGCGTCTTCTGCTCTGTGCCGTGTGTGTGTGTGTGTGTGTGTGTGTGTGTGTGTGTGTGTGTTTCCTTCAGGTAATTTCTCTGCGTTTGTGGCCATTTGGCATTCTAGCTCTGGAACCACCAGACTTTGTCAAGACGAGACAGACGTTGTCAGATCTGCTAAGATGTGATCCGACGCATAGAGACCTAAGACTCCAGCCCAGCTGGTGTGGCTCAGTGGTTGAGCGTCGACCCATGCACCAAGAGGTTGCCTGTTCGATTCCTGGTCAGGGCACATGCCCAGGTTGTGGTCTCAATCCCCAGTGGGGGGCGTGTAGGAGGTAGCTCATCAATGTTTCTCTCTCTCCTGCTCCCTTAAAAAAAAAAAAAAAAAAGGCAAAGCCCTAGCTAGTTTGGCTCAGTGGATAGAGTGTTGGCCTGCGGACTAAAGGGTCCTGGGTTTGATTCTGATCAAGGGCACATGCCCGGGTTGTGGGTTCAATCCCCAGTGGGGGTGGGAGGGTGCAGGAGTCAGCCGATCAATGATTCTCTCTCATCGTTGATGTTTCTATTTCTCCCTCCCTCTTCCTTCCTCTCTGGATAAAAACAAAAACAAAAGAACAACTAAGCCCTGGTCGGTGTGGCTCAGTGGATAGAGCGTCAACCTGTGGACCAAAGGGTCTTGGGTTCGATTTTGGTCAAGGCATGTACCTGGGCTGCAGGCTCCTCCCTGTCCATGGCCCTGGTTGGGGGACATGCAGGAGGCAACCAATTGATGTGTTTCTCTCACATCTATGTTTCTCTCTGTCTTTCCCTCTCTCTAAAAAGAAAAAAAAAATTAATGGAAAAACATCCTTGGGTGGGGATTAACACACACACACACACACACGACAACTAAGACTCCAGCCCTGTCCTGGCTCAGTTGGTTGCAGTGTCAGTGCACCCTACAAAGGGACATATTTGGACAAAGGGCAGTGGGGAGCCTGACGGGTCCAAGCACGCCAAGGGAGGACAGAGAGGGGCAATGCTGTGTTCCGGAGCGAGTTTATGACTCTTTACAGCCTCCCCGCTACTAACCTCATTTTATTTTATTTTTAAAAATACATTTTTATTGATTTCAGAGAGCAAGGGAGAGGGAGAGAGAGAAACATCAATGATGAGAGAGAATCCTGGATCGGCTGCCTCTCGCACGCCCCCTACTGGGGATTCATCCGCAACCCAGGCCTGTGCCCTTGATGGGAATGGAACCTGGGACCCTTCAGTCCGCAGGCCGGGGCTCTATCCACTGAGCCAAACCGGCTGGGGCCTAACCCCGTTTTACAGAGGAGGAATCACAGGCTCAGAGATTGAGGAACTTGTCCAAGCGCGCACAGCTGGGGCGCACAACCCGCGGGGAGCCCCGGATCTGACACCCAACCCTAGGTTCCTGCATCGCAGACCCCAGGAACCTCAGCCATTGTGGGACCTGGGAGGGGGGGCCCGAAGAGCAGGCGCCCCCCACCGCCCCCCACCCCCTCACCCCAAGAGCTTTTCCCTTTTCTCCATTCCTGTTCTCTGGAAACCCGCCCTTTCAGAGCTGATGCTATAGCATCTCGGGGCCTCCATTTCTCCTCTGTGCGTGTGTTGGGGCAGGGGTCTCTCTCCAGTAACAGGAAAAGGGAGAGAAAAAGGAAGGAAGCGCTCGGGCCCCAGCCCAGGGTCTTCCCCGATGTCCCCTCCCTGCGCGCATGGTCCCAAGGGCAGGAATGAAGCTCGGCCCCTTTAGGTCCCGCCCAGGAACTCCCGGCGCCGCGGCCTTCCCGGAACCGCAGCGGGAATCGCTGGTCTCTGCTCGTCGTCCCGGTCCCGCACAGCGGCCCGGCCCGGCCCGGGGAGGATGAGCCGCATCTACCAGGACAGCGCGCTCCGGAACAAGGCGGTGCGGAGCGCACAGCTGCCCGGCGCCTGGGAGCCGGCCGCCCACCAGGGGTAACCCGCGCGCCCCTCCCCGCGCCTCCGCCGGGCCTCCCGCCGCCCGGCTTTGAACTGGGGCGCCTGGATCGGGTGGGGTCTCCTGGGCGGGGGCCGGTGGGAGGAAAAGCAGGCGGTGCCAACGCTCCTCACGCGCCCCCCTTGGCCCGCAGGCGGGGCGCACCCCCTGACACCGATCGAGCGCTTTAAAGCGCCCTTGCTCTCCCCAGACCTTTGGAGAGGGTTGGGTTTTGACCCCCCAAACGTGGCTCAAAAGTGGGTGCTGGGTTCTCACGATCGTGGTCTCCACCCCACCCCCTGGCACCCCCTTGCCAGCTTGCCGTACCTTCCTTCTGGCCCGGGCACGGGTTGCACCGGATCCAGAGTCCAGAGGGAGAATCACCAGCGGATGTCAGGCCCGAGGGGTGGGGCGAGTGTGGGATGGGAGGGCCAGGCCTGCCGGGAGGGACCCCGAGGTTGTGAGAACGAGTGGGCCTTTGAGGGTTGAAGGGGTCTTAGGGGCACTTGGGTACAGCCAGCTGCCAGGTTTTGCACCCCGCACTCCTCTCCCATTTCTGTGGTTCCGGAATAAGAAACCCACAGCTTCTGCTTTTATGAAAAGTGGAATCAGGAAGTGGGGTCCAGCTCCTCTAGGTGGGAACCCCGCGATCTGGACTGGGGGCTTCTTTGCCTCCACAGTGGCCATGAGAACAGGAATGTGAAAGTGCTTTAAACAGGTGAAAAGGGAAAGCTTTTATTTTAAAAAAAATTTTTTATTGATTGATTAGAAAGAGAGAGAGAGAGCCCTGACCGGTTTGGCTCAGTGGATAGAGCGTTGGCCTGCGGACTGAAGGGTCCCAGGTTCGATTCTGGTCAAGGGCATGTACCCTGGTTGCGGGCACATCCCCAGTAGGGGGGGTGCAGGAGGCAGCTGATGGATGTGTCTCTCTCATCGATGTTTCTAACTCTCTATCCCTCTCCCTTCCTCGCTGTAAAAAATCAATAAAATATATTTTAAAAAAATAAAAAAGAGAGAGAGAGAAAGCAATAGCATCAATTTGTAGTTCCACTTATTTATTCATTGGTTGATTCTTTTTTTAAAATATATTTTTATTGATTTCAGAGAGGAAGGGAGAGAGACAGACATCAATGATGAGAGAATCATTGACCAGATGCCTCCTGCACGCCCCCCACTGGGATCAAGCCCACAACCCCAGGCATGTGCCCTTGAATGGAATCGAACCCGTGACCCTTCAGTCCGCAGGCCGAAGATCTTATCCACTGAGCCAAACCAGCTAGAGTGATTGGTCCTTATAGTAGTATATGCCCTGACCCGGGATCAAACCTGCAACCTTGGTCCACCAGTGGTCGGCAAACTCATTAGTCAACAGAGCCAAATATCAACAGTACAACGATGGAAATTTCTTTTGAGAGCCACATTTTTTAAGCTTAAACTATACAGGTAGGTACATTGTTATTAACTTAATTAGGGTACTCCTAAGGCTTAGGAAGAGCCACACTCAAGGGGCCAAAGAGCCGCATGTGGCTTGCGAGCCGCAGTTTGCCGACCACGGGTAACCAACCGAATTACCTAGCCAAGGCAGGAAAGATACTTGATAGCAACTGAGACACCCCTCCTAATTTGGTTAAATAAAAAAGTAAAATCCTTTCTACTTATTAAACACTGATTAGTTTACCAAACACTTCACATACATGATCTTATGTCATCATCATAGAAGCAGAGTGAGATGACTGTTACTCTCCCATTTTGTAGATAGGAAGACTGAGTCTCTGGTTACAGTCCTCCCTGCAGGAGGGGCCGTAGTTTGGCCTTGCAGCCTGACAAGGTTCCCTCCTACCCCCTGAGCAGCGAGCACCCCAGCCTTTGGGACCCTCAAAGGAATGGAGGCCCCATGTGGGACGCACAGAGAAGGGGGCTGCTCATACACATGGGCATTGCCTCAGTCCCGGTGCAGACTCTGACCTGGGCCTGGAACTTGGGGCTCTTTCCTGGCGCCTGGCAGAACCAGCTGATCCCTCCTTCTCCTTTCATCCCAGGGGAAGTGGTGTGCTGCTGGAGGGAGAACTGGTTGATGTATCTCGGCACAGCATCTCGGACGCCCATGGCAGGAAGGTGAGGATGCTGGGGGCACCGGCAGGAACAGGCACAGAGGCCCCACGGTCCTCACCCACCAAGGCACCTCCCCGAGTCTTGGGTCCAGCGCTTTCCTCCCTGAGGGACTCAGGTGGGGAGATGGATCGGGTGGAAAAGGATCCGTTATGGTGCGCTAGGCTATGGACAGATGGGAGGGCCTGGGTTCTTTCTGAGAAGACAGACCAGGCCCTGAACCCAAGTGGTGTGTTTGGGGCAGAGATTGGGAGGGTTGAGCGCAGGAAGGGGTGAGGTGAGGTGAGGTGAATGGTTCGGGAATGGGACCATGGGTGTGGAGTGGGCTGTAAGGCCCTTGGAAGAGGTCCCACGGCCTTCTGATGGAAGAGATTTATTTTATTTATTTACTAGAGGCCTGGTGCACCCGGTGGGGTCCCTCGGCCTGGCCTGCGGGGATCGGGCCGAAACCGGCTCTCTGACATCCCCTGAGGGGTCCTGGATTGTGAGAGGGCGCAGGCCAGGCCGAGGGACCCCACCAGTGCACTATTGGGGCCAGCGAGGGACCGCGGGAGGTTGGCCAGGCAGGGAGGGAGGGCTCCAGGGCGTGTCTGGCCCATCTTGCCCAGTCCCAATCAGCTGGACCCCAGCAGCAAACTAACCTACCAGTCAGAGCATCTGCCCCCTGGTGGTCAGTGTGCATAATAGCGACCGGCCCAACGGTTGAACAATCGGACACTTTGCATATTAGGCTTTTATTACATAGGATTTAAAAAATATATTTTTATTGATTTCAGAGAGAAAGGGAGAGGGAGATAGAAACATCAGTGATGAGAGAGAATCATCGATCGGCTGCCTCCTGCAGGCCCCCCACTGGGGATTGAGCCTGCAACCCTGGCAGGTGCCCTGACCGGGAATCGAACCTTGACCTCCTGGTTCATAGGTCAATGCTCAACCACTGGGCCATGCCGGCTGGGCTGATGGGACAGACTTAGTGCCGGGTGCCTTGCTGGTTGTTCCACCTTCAGGGCCTCGCTTTCCTTCCCTGTTTCTCCCCGGAGGCGGTTCCCTCTTCCTCGTCGCCGGGAGCATTTTGCCGCCTGCTTTGATTAGAACAGCTGCAGCCGGCACTACAGACTGTTCATGCTTTCCGCTGTGCTTGCTCCCGCGTTACCTCACTGACCCCGTGCGACATTCCTGAGAGCAGACGTCACGTTGTCCCCGTGCGACAGGGGAAGCTGAGGCTCGGATGCGCCCCAGGCGCCGGATCTGTTGGAGGAGGCACAGCGGCTGCCCTCAGTCAGACCTCCCTGTCAGCGCCTTTCCGGGGCGTCTTGGCTGTGCCACGCCTGCTGCGTGGTATTTGGGGCCCTTGGCGCTCAGGTTGGGGCTGTCTGTGTGTACTTTTTGTCTTGGCTGTTAGGGGACCTTGGGGTCAGGCCGTGGGCCCACCCTCTCATGGACGTCTAGCCTGGTTCATCGTGTGTGGTGATACTGTATGAAACACGCGAATGGCCCGTCCCGTGTGGCTCAGTGGTTGAGCGTCCATGTATGAACCAGGAGGTCACGGTTCGATTCCCGGTCAGGGCACATGCCCAGGTTGCAGGCTCCACCCACTAGGGGGTGTGCAGGAGGCAGCTGATCAATGATTCTCTCTTATCATTGCTATATTTCTTTTTTTAAAAAAAACATATTTTATTGATTTTTTAAAGAGAGGAAGGGAGAGGGATAGAGAGTTAGAAACATCGATGAGAGAGAAGCATTGATCAGCTGCCTCCTGCACACCCCCCACTGGGGCTGTGCCCTCAACCAAGGCACACGCCCTTGACCGGAATCGAACCCGGGACCTCTCAGTCCACAGATCGACGCTCTATCCACTGAGCCAAACCGGCCTCGGCGGTATATTTCTTAATGAGATTTATTTATTCATTTAATTTTAATCTTCACTTAAAGATATTTTTCCATTGATTTTTAGAGTGGAATAGAGAGGGAAAGACAGAAATATAGATGTGACACAAACACATCAATTGGTTGCTTCCTGCACGAGCCCTAACCAGGGCCCGGGCCGGGGTGGAGCCTGCAACTGAGGTCCGTGCCCTTGACCGGAATCGAACCCAGGACTCTTTGGTCTGCAGGCCGACGCTCTACCCACTGATCCAAACCGGCTAGGGCTATCATTGGTATTTCTATCGCTCTCTCTCCCTCTCCCTTCCTCTCTCTGAAATCAATAAAAATATATCAAAACAAAACGTGAATGAATGAACGGTGTACGTATGGATGGATGAATGGATCGATATTGGAGTAGGGATCTGCGGAGCTTGAATATTTTTGGAGCTGAGGGTGGGGTTCCAGGGTAGAGAACGAGTTTGGGGCGGGCTGCGTGGAGCCCTGCAGGGCGTGTGTGTGTATTGGGGGTGAAGCGGGGAGTGGAGCAGCCCCCTGACTCTCTGCCTGCCCCCAGGAGCGCTACTACGTGCTGTATGTCCGGCCCAGTCGCATCCATCGCCGGAGGTTCGACCCCAAGGGAAATGAAATCGAACCCAACTTCAGCGACACCAGGAAGGTGAACACTGGCTTCCTCATGTCCTCCTACAGTAGGTACCCCTGCCCTCTGCCCTCTGCCCTCTGCCCTCCTCTCTCCCGCCCTGTGGCCCGAGAAAGGGTCTTTTCAGCATGATTGACTTTATTTATTTGTTATTTATTTCTTTATTTTATTTTATTTTTATTTTTTTATTTTTTTTGTTATTTATTTCTAAATATATTTTTATTGATTTCAGAGAGGAAGGGAGAGGGAGAGAGAGATAGAAACATCAATGATGAGAGAGAATCATGGATCGGCTGCCTCCTGCACGCCCTCCCCCCACCCCCCCAATGGGGGAACTGAGCCCGAAATCTGGGCATGTGCCCTGACGGGAATCGAACCTGGACCTCCTGGTTCATAGGTCGAGTCAAGTGCTGAGCCAAGCCAGCCGGGCAGCACGATTGGCTTTAACGTCTGGCCTGAGGGCCCCTGGCTGGACTCCTTCCTGTACCCCGTTCACTCAGATGATCCCAGTGCCTCCTCAGTCTGGCAGGATCGTCCATGAACCTGGCTCTGGCTCTCACTTTCTTGGTGCAGAGCCCAGGCTCGGGCCCTGAGGGCCTCCACTTTCCTGCCAAATTCTCATTTGGGTCTTGGGCCCTTCAGGATGTCATATCTCGCCCTGGTTTTGGCAGTAGCAAGACCTCTGCTATCTACCCCCGTGTGGGAAGGTTTTGAGGTTGCGCCACATCCATCCATCCCTCTGTCATTGCATTCACTCGTGCTTTCCACGGCTCATTCATTCTCTGCATTCTCTGATCATTGTTGTTGTTGTTAATCCTCACCCGAGGATATTTTTCCCGTTGATGTTTAGAGAGGGGAAAGGAAGGGGAGAGACAAAGAGAAACATCGATGTGAGAGAGACACATCGATTGGTTGCCTCCCGCATGTGCCCCGACCAGGGCCAGGAATCAGGCCCGCAACCTGTGCGTGCCCTTGACTGGAATCGAACCCGGGATCCTTCAGTCTGCAGGCTGACACTCTGTCCACTGGGCCAAACCGGCTAGGGCTGAACATTATTTATTTATTCATTTATTTTCTACTGATTTCAGAGAGAGGAAGGTAGAAGGAGAGATAGAAACATCAATGATGAGAGAGAACCATTGATCAGCTGCCTCCTGCACGCCCCCTACTGGGCATCAAGCCTGCAACCCGGGCATGTGCCCCGACTGGGAATCGAACCGTGACCTCCTGGTGAATGGGTTGATGCTCAAGCACTGAGCCACACCAGCCGGGCAATTGTCTGCACATTTATTTATTTTTTTAATATATTTTATTGATTTTTTACAGAGAGGAAGGGAGAGAGATAGAGAGTTAGAAACATCGATGGGAGAGAAACATCGATCAGCTGCCTCCTGCACATCTCCCACTGGGGATGTGCCTGCAACCCAGGCACATGCCCTTGACCAGAGTCGAACCTGGGACCCCTCAGTCCGCAGTCTGACGCTCTATCCACTGAGCCAAACCGGTTTCGGCTTGTCTGCACATTTAATGAGCATCTACCATGAGCCAGGCCCAGAGCCCATGCCTGACCACCTCCGCCGTGAGCTCCTTGATGAGTCCTGGAAGGATGGGCTCACTCCTGCCCTCAGTTGGCTGTGAGCCTTAACTTCATTTGAGAATATTTTTCCATTGATTTTTAGGGAGATAGAAGAGAGAGGGAAAGACAGAGAGAAAAACACATTGATTGGTTGCCTCCTGCTTAGGGCCGGGGAGGAGCCTGCAATTGAGGTACGTGCCCTTGACCGGAATCAAACCTGGGCCCCTTCGGTCTGCAGGCCGACGCTCTATCCACTGAGCCAAACCGGCCAGGGCCCTCAGCGCTGGCCCTACAGCAGGAACAATCCTCTTGTGCTGTGTGCCTGCAGAGGTGGACGCCAAGGGGGACACGGACAGACTCACGCCTGAGGCACTGAAGGAGCTGGTGAATAAGCCGGCGCTGCTCGCCCTGACGGAGAGCCTCACGCCCGAGCAGACCGTGGCCTTCTGGATGCCCGAGTCGGAGATGGAGGCCCTGGAGCTGGAGCTGGGGGCCGGGGTTCGGCTGAAAACCCGAGGCGACGGCCCCTTCCTGGGTGAGCAGTGCAGCCCTTGCTGCGGCCTCGTGTTCCCATTGGCCTGGGGGTGCCCCCACCCCCCACAACCCAGGAGCAGCCAGGTCTGGCCTCTGCGGGGACAAGACCACTTGAGATATATTCCTAAGTCCCAAGGCAGTGCCCTGAGGCCAGTAGTCTGGACACCCTGGATCGTGGGGTGCTGTCTAATCCCAGGGTACCTGTGGGTGGTGCCCTCTCCTATCTAGGGCTTTGGGGGTCGCATCCAGGGTCTCCCCGAGGTCCACACCCAGGCCTGCAGAGAACAATGGGTTACCCCCAGCCTCAGGGACCCCAGTAGAATGAGCCAGCCCCCCCCCCCCCACTGTGTTTCTGCCACAGGAAGAGAGGCCACTCACCTTCTTTCCTTCTCTCAGATTCATTAGCCAAACTTGAGGCTGGAACAGTGACCAAGTGTAATTTCGCTGGTGATGCAAAGACGGGGGCATCGTGGACCGACAACATCATGGCCCGAAAGTCTTCCGAGGGGACCACGGCGGAGACCCGAGAGCAGGGGGACGGGGCAGAGGATGCGGAGTGGGTAGGTCAAGGGCAATGACTATGGACCTGGCGTGGGAGTGGTTTACCTCTTGGCAGGAGTTGTGTGTTTCTAATATGTTTTTATTGCTTTTTAGAGAGGAAGGGAGCGGGAGAGAGAGATAAAAACATCAGTGAGAAGAGAGAATCATGGATCGGCTGCCTCCTGCATGCCCCCTACTGGGGATCGAGCCCACAACCCGGGCATGTGCCCTTGACCAGGAATGGAACTGTGACCTCTTGGTTCCTGGGTCAACACTCAACCGCTGAGCCACACAGGCCGGGCTTGGCAGGAGTTTTGTTCGTACCAGCGGTGGTTGTGCGTAGGACAAGGAGACAGCATGTAAACTTGACCCTCCAGCCTGTTGGAATTCCGTGGCCTTCCTAGAGTGTGTTAGCATAGGGAAAATTCCTTCAAGGTGTGAATGAGGACAATCTGGACCTTCCTTTTTTTTTCAATATATTTTATTGATTTCTTACAGAGAGGAAGGGAGAGAGATAGAGAGTCAGAAACATCGATGAGAGAGAAACATCGATCAGCTGCCTCCTGCACATCTACTGGGGATGTGCCCGCAACCAAGGTACATGCCCTTGACCGGAATCGAACCTGGGACCCTTCAGTCCGCAGGCCGACGCTCTATCCACTGAGCCAAACCAGTTAGGGCTCCTTTTTTCCATTGATTTTTAGAGAGAGTGGAAGAGCGGGAAAAAGACAGACAGAAATGTTGATGTCAGAGGAACACATCGATTGGTTGCCTCCTGCACAATCCCTGACCAGGGCCCGGGCCAGGGAGGAGCCTGCAACCGAGGTACGTGCCCTTGATCGGAATTGAACCCAGATCCCTTCAGTCCGAAGGCCGACGCTCTATCCACTGAACCAAACCGGCTAGGGCCCGGCACCTTTCTTTTTGGTGGATCTGAACTGTGCCAATCTACAAGAAATCCCCAGAGATTTATAAAAGCAAGGGACAGCCCTAGCCGGTTTGGCTCAGTGGATAGAGCGTCAGCCTGCGGACCGGGAGGTCCCAGGTTCGATTCCGGTCAAGGGCATGTACCTGGGTTGTGGGCTCATCCCCAGTGGGAGATGTGCAGGAGGCAGCGGATCGATGTTTCTCTCGCATCCATGTTTCTAACTCTCTATCCCTCTCCCTTCCTCTCTGTAAAAAATCAATAAAATATATTGAAGAAAAAAAAAAGACTTATAAAATGTGCTCAGTTCATGTCTCTTTGCTTTATCCCCAGGACGACTGAGGTTCCTGGGAGAAGCGGGGTCCCCGGGGCTCACCCGCACTGAGAATGTCTTCCATCGACTTCCATTCTGGAGTTCAAGGATGAGCCCCGCAGCCTTACTCGCCTTGCACAGGCCGTGCTAAGACCAAATCCACAACCACACGCTTAGCAGCAGGGCCCCCTGCCCTGGCTCACGGAAGGCCTTCCCTGAGTGGGAGTGGAGCCTCCTAGTGTCATGACAACCACGCCCTGATGGCAGTGGTGTCTCTGGAGGCCGGAGGTGAGCGAGTGCCCGGCTCAGACAGGGGAAGTGGGCTTGGTCTTGGTGCAGAATCGGGGGACATCCCTCTTGTATATGCAAAGCGGCTCAGAGCGGGAGCTGGCAGCCTCCTTCCTCTGCCCTGGTCTTTTCTGCTTTCCTCCCTCGCCTGCCTGCCCTGGTGCTCTGGGCTGTGGTCTCTGCTCTCCTGCTCAGTCCTCCTGTCCCCTGCGCCCTTTTCTCTCCCCGAAGCTGCCAGTTCTCTATTCCTTTTTGGTTTATCAAGGTTATTTTGGTTTATCAGGTTATTTCTATTTTAAAATAGAAGCATTTGCCATATTTTAACAACTTTTCCATTTTTATTTGTTCATTTTTATTTTTTCCCCATGTTTAAAAATTGGTTTTACAAATATGAAGTCTTTATATAGAGCTGTTGGCTTGTGATTTTTATTGCTTCTAACATATTCTCTTTTCAGATGTTACTCAACTTCATTTTCGTCCATTTTGGTTATTATCTAGTTTTATATTTAAGTCTCTTGCCGAGGCCGGTTTGGCTCAGTGGATAGACCGTCGGCCTGCGGACTGAGGGGTCCCAGGTTCGATTCCGGTCGGGGGCATGTGCCTGGGTTGCGGGCACATCCCTGGTGGGGGATGTACAGGAGGCGGCTGGTCGATGTTTCTCTCTCATCGATGTTTCTGACTCTCTGTCTCTCCCTTCCTCTCTGTGGGAAATCAATAAAATATATTTAAAAAAAAATAAGTCTCTAATACACTTTACCTTTAATTTGTAGAAGGATATGAAGTGAGATAACTAAATTGCTTAATTTCAAATTGCTAACCAGTTATCCCAACATATTTATTGAATTTTCCCCCACTGTCAGGTTATCATTTCTCCCACATCACATAGGAAATTATTTTATACTAGAGGCCCAGTGCATGAAATTCATGCACGGATAGGGTCCCTAGGCCTGGCCGGTGATCAGGGCCATGAGGGGCCTTCCGGCTGCCAGCCGGGGCCTTCGTTCTGTGCCGCACCCTGGTGGTCAGTGCACGTCATAGCAAGCAATCAAACTCCCAGTCTCCTGGTCGAACTCCTGAGGGGAAACTTTGCATATTAGCCTTTTATATATATATAGTTTCAATTAGCCATTATATTTCAGTAGGTCTACTATAAGGACAATATGACTATCACAGTAGGTTGTTGTGTTTTTTTTAATGTATTTTATTGATTTTTTACAGAAAGGAAGGAAGAGGGATAGAGTTAGAAACATCGATGAGAGAGAAACATGGATCAGCTGCCTCCTGCACACCCCCTACTGGGGATGTGCCCGCAACCAAGGTACATGCCCTTAACCGGAATCGAACCTGGGACCCTTGAGTCCGCAGGCTGACGCTCTATCCACTGAGCCAAACCGGTTACGGCCACAGTAGGTTTTGATAGTTGGTAGAGCTAGGTCCCCTCATTCTCAACACTGAAAACATTTTGTCAAGTTTCAGTGCGTATTTACTGCCTTTGGATTTTTTTGAATTGAAAAATCTTGGCTACAAGAGTAATACATATTTCTTTTAGAAAAAAATTTTTATTGATTGATTTTGAGAAAGAAATATTCATTTGTTGTGTCTACTATTATTATTTTTTTAAATATATTTTTATTGATTTCAGAGAGGAAGGGAGAGGGAGGGAGCGATAGAAACGTCAATGACGAGACAGAATGATTGATCAGCTGCCTCCTGCACGCCCCACACTGGGGAGCCAGCCTGCAACCCGGGCCTGTGAGGGCTGGGCGTGGGTCTAATACATTTCAAAGGTGTTTGAAACATTTCCAGTCATTTGGGTAAATGATCCCGTTTGCACCTCGATCTATAACATAAGAACGTGCTCCACCTCACCCCGACTGTCAAACGAAAAAAACAACAAATTTTACCAATATGGGCTCGCCAGTACCTTTTAAATGGGATTGCATTAGAGAGCTCTTGATTCCACCATTCACTATCTACCATGGATGGAATGCCGGAAAAGCAAAAGGAAAAAAAAAAGACCTTAATGTGCCCCAACTGGGGGAAATGGCTAAATGAGCCTGCATCTCACAGCGGGAAAAGCAGGACGTCATGTCGGGATGCGGACGGTGAGAAAGAGAGGCCCCCGTCGCTTCGCGCAGGCGTTCCTGCGTGGGAACCTGCTTTTCCCACGAGCTCGGGGAGGCAGGCGGGCGGCCTGGGCAAAGGACACCGATCCGGGCCCGCGTCCCGGCCAGGCTGACCGCGGAGACGACCCTCCCCAGCTCGGGGTCTCGTGGTCCCCACCAGCCCCCCAACCGCGGGCCCTGGATCCTTCTCTGCGATCGGGAAGCCGGACTCTTCGCGGTCCGGCCCCTGGGCGCCGGGCAACGTTTCCGCCGGGGAACTTTCCACGGCGCACCCACCGGAAGTGTCCGTGTGGTGGCGGAAGTGGATGTTTTCTGGAAACAGCCGGGCGGAGAGGAGCGTGGCCGGCAGAGATGATTCAGGCGATTCTGGTTTTCAACAACCACGGGAAGCCGCGGCTGGTCCGCTTCTACCAGCGTTTCGTGAGTGCGGCCCAGCGTCCTCACGTCCCTCCCGGGCACCGCGTCCCCTTCCTCCCGACCCTGAGGCCCCGACGGCGCCCGCGGGCCCCCACCGCCCCCGCCCGCTGCCCGCCTCGGGCTCCCGCACCACGCGCGACCCTCACACTCGAGTCTAATCTCTTTCCCGACCCCTTTCTGGACCCCGGCGTTTCTGTGCCATTTTGTGACATTTCTTCTTGGTCTCAGCGTTCTCTCTGTAAGTGACCGGGGTGCCTCGTGGAGACCCTGAAAGATTTTTAAGCCACTTTGATCTTGTTTAAACTCGGTTTCCCGAGGAGGAAGGCATATGCAGACTCTTAAAAAGTTTTTGCTTTCGCCGGAGAGTCAGGGAAGGTGCTTTCTTGGGATAATTTCATTTCCGAGTTGCCTGGGACCGCTCAGCGACTCGGAAAAAGTCACTTCAAAAGTGGGGACTGTGCCTTGACGGTGCGGCTCAGTGGTTGGGCGTTGACCTATGAACCAGGAGGTCACGGTTGGATTCCTGGTCAGGGCACCTGCCGGGGTTGCAGGCTCGATCCCCAGCAGGGGGCGTGCAGGAGGCAGCCGGTCCATGATTCTCTCTCATCATTGATGTTTTTCTCGCCCTCTCCCCTCCTCTTTGGAATCGATGCAAATATATATATATATATATATATATATATATATATTATATATATATATATATATATTTTTTTTAAAGTGGGGAAGGAGCCCTAGCTGGTTTGGCTCAGTGGATAGAGCGTCGGCCTGCGGACTGAAGGGTCCCAGGTTCGATTCCGGTCAAGGGCATGTACCTTGGTTTCGGGCCCATCCCCAGTGGGGGGTGTGCAGGAGGCAGCTGATCGATGTTTCTGTCTCATCGATGTTTCTGACTCTCTATCCCTCTCCCTTCCTCTCTGTAAAAAAAATCAGTAAAATATATTTTAGAAAAAAAGTGGGGAAGGAGAAACTGTACATGCTGCTGCATGAGGGCTCAATAAATAATAATGTGAACTTGGAACTTTTCAGAAAGCATTTCTGTGGGAAAACGCAAACATCACCACTTGCCTCCTGTCCCTGAACGTTTTGGAACGTTTTGTTTCTCGGTGATGAGGTTTCAAAATGTTACATATGCAGTTGGTGGACCCCTGAAACCTTGGAGGGGGGAAGAGAAAATTTACGTTCAAGCCTTAACTCCACCTTTTTTACCTTTGTGTCTGTTGACAAGTTAACGAACTTCTTTCAGGCTTTATTTCCTCTTCTTCCAAGTAGAAATGAAAGAAGAAAAAAAAACACACACCATTACAGTTTCATAGAATATTTTTCAGCCAGATTACATTTTATTAAATAATTACATCGAGGTAAAAATTTGCATTTTGTGTGTGTGTGTGTGTGTGAATTTTCCCCTCTGTTTTCTACTTTTATTTTTTTATTGATTTCAGAGAGGAAGGGAGAGAGAGAGAGAAACATCAATGATGAGAGAGAATCGTTGATTAGCTGCCTCCTGCAAGCCCCCTACTGAGGCGGGGGGGGGGGGGGGGGTGTTGAGCCCAAAATCCTGGCACGTGCCCTTGACCGGAATTGAACCTGGGACCCTTTAGTCCACAGGCCGACGCTCTATCCACTGAGCCAAACCGGCTAGGGCTCCCCTCTGTTTTTTTAAAGTTGAGATATGTCACATACCACAGAATTCACCTATTTAAAATGTTCAGTTGAGCCCGGCCACGGTGGTTCAGTGGTTGAGCATCGACCTATGAACCAGGAGGTCAAATTCCCTGTTAGGACACATGCCCGAGTTGCGGGCTCAATCCCCAGTAGGGGGCGCTGCAGGAGGCAGCCGATCCATGATGCTCTCTCATCATTGATGTTTCTCTCTCCCTCTCTCTTCTCTGAAATCAATAAAAATATATTTTTTTAAATAAGTAAAATGTACAACTCATTGGTTTTTGGTAGGGTCACAAAGCTATGCAACCATCACCGCAATTTTAGAACACTGTCATTAACCCAAAAAGAAACTCCTACCCATTAGCAATTATTCTGTATTTCACCCTCTAGTCCCCCAGCCCTAGACAACCACTAATCTATTTTCTGTCTCTCTACATTTGCCTATTGTGGGCATTTCATGTAAATGGAATCATATAATATGTGGGTTTTATTTTTATGACCGGCTTTTTTTACTTGGTACAGTATGTTCTCAGGGTTATCCATGCTATAGTGTGTATCAGTTCTTCATCCCTTTTTGTTGCCAAGTTTTATTTATTTATTTATTTTTATTGATTTTTTACAGAGAGGAAGGGAGAGGGATAGAGAGTTAGAAACATCGATGAGAGAGAAACATCGATCTGCTGCCTCCTGCACACCCCTTACTGGGAATGTGCCTGCAACCAAGGTGCATGCCCTTGACCGGAATCAACCTGGGACCCTTCAGTCCGCAGGCCGACGCTAAACCGGTTAGGGCCTAAGTTATACTTTATCGTATGGATGGATATGTCACGCTTTGATTGTCCATTCATCGGTTGATGTTTCCACCTATGGCTCTTGTGAATAATGGTGCTATGAACACTCATGTCCAGAAGTTTGTTTTTTCTTTATTGTTTAAAGTATTACATGAGTCTCCTTTTTGCCCCCATTGACTTCTCCCCTGCCATCCTCTCTCCCAAACACAAGCCCTCACCCCCCTACTGTCTGTGTCCATTGGTTTTGCTCATATGCCAGCATACAGGTCCTTTGATTGATCTCTTACCCACTCACCGCCCGCCTTGCCTCATAGGTTGTTCAGTCTGTTTGATGCTTCTATGTCTCTGGTTCTATTATTGTTCATCAGTTTATGTTGGTCATTATATTCCACAAATGAGTGAGATCCTGTG